GGACGTTTGTTTCCGTCTGAACACTGGACACTTGAGACGGTCTGTGCGTGCAACAAACATGGAGTGAGCAAACAATCCTCGGCTGAGGATCGAGTGGGATCAGAGACACCGGGTCGAAAACCAAAAGGCAAAGAAAAGAAAGCTGTGAAGAGAAACGGTGACTAAACGCTGTAAGGACGAGTTGAGCGAAGCTTTCTGAGGGAGGACATGAGGCGGTGGAGGGAGCCACGGTCACACAAGCTGTGCCCGACATGGTTCCAACTCTACTGGATCATTTCTGTAATGGATCGTAAGAGATCATCACACTTTGCTGTAAACAAAGACGAGGAACATTTTCAGGTTCTTAAAGCAATTTCTACTCAAACACTGAGAAGTTTGACTCCCATCAAACCCCAGTCACTGAAGAAACTGTGAGAACAACAACCGAAGGAAAATCATGAATGTGGATCGAGGTCATGCCGAATAAATAAAATGAAAGAACGGCACTTAAATACACTCTAAAGATACTCAGACATCTTTACTTCCAAACTGATCCCAGTACGCCCATCAGACTGTGTCCCCACCTTCTCTTGTTGGGAACTGAACTCCACAGGACTCAGTTAAGGGAAGCTGCCATGTTGCATCTTTTCAAGCAGTGTCTGCAAATTAGGAATGTGTAGCTTTAAGCCCCACCCACTCCTTCTCACACCACCAGTGTCATGTGACCTCCTGGTAAACATGAAATAAGTTACCAGTAAAACATGAGAACCAGTATGAACACAGTAGCAAGATCAGAATGACACGAGTCAACAAGAGCAAAGACCTGAAACATCCTAGCTGTGTTTGACTGGAGGGGCACAACTCAAACTGGTACTGGAACCAGTCAACAGGGACACTTGGTCCGGTCCCAACTTCGACTTCCAGGTCTTTCAACTGGTTACACCCCACTCTTACTGGATAATACTTCATTTTCATATTGAACATAATGTGGATGGTCTCTGCAGGGTCTTCAGGAGCTTACTGGGAACAGAGTGGCTCCTGGGTTTGAGCATGCACGAGGTTGTAGTGGTTCATGATCTTAGTGTTGGTCCTGGTGGAGTGGGGTGGCAGCGTGTCCACGATGTGGGGCCTGCTGTGCTTTGAGAACTTTGAGCATCATTAACCATGCTGGTGTGAAGCTCAGGCCACGTCATCCTGCACAAAGTGCAGGCAGTCACTGCAGCACTGGTAGTGAAGATGCTGCTGGGTGCGCTTCATCTCCTCGTCATCGCTCTCACATCAAACATTTGAACAACTGTAACACGCTCTCACCTCATGGCTGCAACAACCAACTCATGCACCGATAAATACTCCCTTCATTGACCTGTTCAACCATTATCTAAAGCTTTGGTAACCAACATTCAGAAATGTATCGTTTTTTCTCCCAGTTATTCTGATGACATCCAAAAATTATTTCTGCCCAGCTGCAGTTTTAAGATTTTGGATTCAAACAACCAAAGTTATCTTATTGCCTGCAGTGTCCTGTTTGCTGCTGAGGGCCTTGCTGCCTGGAAAAGGTCACACTAATGTTTGGAGATCTAGGTTGACATGTGTACTGAGGTTTTGGTTTTTGGACCTGAGCACCTTAGGAATGAATGTTTCAGTCTTTCTCCCTCCTTAGATGCATTAATCTGTCCTCCAGCTCTAATGTTAAAAATCTTGGTGTTATTTTTGATCAGGACATGTCTTTTATCCCCCACATTAAAAATGTTACTAGAACCTCCTTCTTCCACCTGCGTTCACCAGTGAACACAAAGCTTGTTTTTACACATGATGACCCAAACTTACTGAAGTTTTTCAGGTAGCTAGAGTTGCTGTTGAAAACCAGAACTAAAAGAACATTAGCTGGTCTTTGCTGGGGCCTGTTTGTGAAGCATCAACAGCGTTAGCTAAAAGCAAATCCTACATTACAGAGACGAAACAGATGTTTAACGTTCATCATCTGTTTGTTGAGCAGGAGCTTTGAGTTCTCCTCCTTACTGGGAACCAGACTCAAGACCTGGAGCCTCATGCATGAACCGGTGAGCAGCTTTTATACTGAAAGTTGTCGTACGGATAAAAGTGTGTTTGCACAAAAATATTAAATTTATCAGCCCGTGCGCGCTCTCTGTGGTCCCTTCAACTCAAATCCTTCAACTGGGACTGAACTTGTGCGACGGACAGAAAAATGGTTTAGGAGCAAATTGTTGATGTTTTCTGCACAATTCCATCAATCAGCATCTGCAGCGACACGGAGCTGTGAAGCAGCACCTGCCCTGCACGACACGTCCAAACGGACTTCCTGTCACAAAGTCACCAAACGGCTCGTGAGTTAAAGAAACATTGCAGCCATTTTCAAGAGAGGAACGGTTTAGAATATTTAAGTTGTTGAAGGATCTTTGAATGAACTCATTTGGAGAAATGGTTTATTTTTGATAAATTTATGAATCAGTCCCATCAATTCCATTCCAATAAGGTTATCAATATTATTACCAGTAATATTGATCTGCCCACCAATAGTTTTGTGTAGGCATACAAGTCAGTCCCTACTGCAATTTTATAAAATCATGCAGTTTGATTCTGACAACAGTGTAAATGTGTACATAATACAGTTATTGTAATTTGTTAAGAAATTCTGAGGCCTGGATTTGTTAAAACATCAACATCTGTTCTGGAAGTGGACCTGTTCATTATTAACAAAACTTACGGACAACAAGCCGCTACTTTTTTTTTAACACGCTTGCTTACAACATGCTGCGGCTAACTTGACTTGACTTAATTTGAGAGGTTAACGAGCTCCATGCCCCCAAACATTTAGCAGTGTCACACCTGGGGCTCACATAGCTGCCCAGCTCACGTCTCTCTTGGGGGGTGGGTCCTCGTCACTCAGTGAGACTAACTGTATAAATGAAGGTTAAAAAATATTATAATCTGACCATTGAAATCTGGTCTCTCTTGTAAATGAGTCCTGGAGGCTCAATGAGATTAACCTGTCTAAATAAAGGTTGAATGAAAAAAAAATTCTGACACTGAAGACGACAACGTTAATGTTTTCTGAGCACAGGAGGAATGAAGATGGAGATCAATTACTTCTCCTGGCAGGCTACTGTATTTTTAATGTTTTAATCTACTGTGTTACAGGCACTGTTCAAAAATTAATAATTTACTGTACATATTTCTGTATGTTACGGTATATGTTTAATTTAAAGCTTAAAATCTTTCCGTGGAAATTACAACGTGAACACCTTATAGACAAGCGCGGCCTATATATGTACATTTTTTTCTTTTGAAATGTAGTGGGTGCAGATTATATTCAGGTGTGCTCAATAATCCAGAAATTAGGGTAGTTTGTCAATCCAAGTTAATAATGAACAGGCCCACTTCTACATCGCATTCTGCAGATTCAAAACAACTCGTACTTTAAAACTGTTCATAAACGTTTAAATAAAACTGGTTGCATGGATGATAATGAAACTTTAAAGATGAGTTTTTCTTCTTCTT